ACCCTCCGAAAAAATATTTTTTTTAATATATTTTTCAATTTTAGTTTTTTTATTTATCGGTTTAAAGATTCAAAATTTTACAAGTTCCAAAGTTTTGAGTTCGGAGATTTATGTGTTTGGAAGTTTACGGGTTTAGAAATTATAAAGTTTACGGGTTCGAAATTCCGCGTTTTCGAAAGTTTATGAAAAATGTGGGTTCGAAAGGTTGTTGGTTTGAAAGTTTATGGCTTCATGTTTATTATATCTAAATTATTTATGAATACTCTTGAGAAGTCATTTTCCTTAATTAGCATACCAAACACTGAAAAATGAATAAGATTACTATTTGTTTTCCAAGAAAATATTTTCCGTTATACCAAACACACCCTAAGTGCTTCTTTCTTCTATCTTCATTTTTCACCCAAATGAATGTTCTTTCTGTTTCAGCAAAAATGTGTACAACGAATTGTTCCAAAACAAAGTTGTTTTATCATCTATATCTATATCTATGTATACGGTCAAAATCGAGGAGCCCGATTTCGAGGTCTTAGATTGGGACTATGAGTTCGAGCCCGGGTGACTCGCAATGGGGGTTGGACCCGGCTGAAGGGCACACACTCTGAGGGAGCAGATCGAGGGCCTGGCACGATCTACATCAATGGCAGTACGATCTCGAAGACACTCAAGAAAGAGCGGAAATTTCTCGAGAACATGTGGATCAGGGCATAAATTAAAGGATAAGATTTGTACGAAATAATACAGGTCCGTACTAGGTTGTTATATACCTATACCAATAGAATTCTTTACCACAATTAGGAATGTACTATGCTGGGATTCTCTCCTCCTATATAAAGGGGACCCAATCATTTGTAAAGACACATTATTCACTGCAATAGAACATTCTACTCTGCTTTTCTTGTTTACCGTGCTCAACATTTGTTCTTCAGCTTATTATTTATACTTTATTGTTCTTAGCTTATCTCGAGGCCCCTAAAATAATCGAGCTCGAGGCCCTTATTGCTCTAACAATACTGGTTTTATTCATCAATTTCTCTTGCTTAAACCTAATATTATTTGTACATTCATTAGTATTGGAATTCAAATATCTTTAAAACCACAATTTATCTTTAATTGTTACTCATATTTTTCGAGGTAAAGAGTTTGGCGCCCACCGTGGGGTATAAGATAATAGTGATTATTTTAGTGCTAGTTTTCTGATAACACACGTCATTCTTCATACTTTTTCTTGTCAAAGATTCTTTGATTTCAGGCTAAGATATGTCTAGCACACAAAAGCATCTGCTCATGACAGTGAAGGGACTCGGAGAAAACAGTGGTATAGGGGTCGATGTGCCACCCATAAACCCTGAGAGAGTGCCAAATATGGAGCCAGTCGATATCAGTTCGCATAATGCTCTAAATACGGATGCATGCATAGACCCCGTAAGGAATGCGCACAGGGAAGCCCAAGCCAGAGATCAGGAAACACGAGGAATGGAAGAAGGAAGAGACAGCCTCCAGGTGATATTTGAAATTTTGCAAGCCCAGCAAGTCGTCATCGCTCAACTTCAGAGTCAGAATAGAACTCCCAACATAGCTGAACCAGTGAACACTCGGCGTGTTGAACCAACGCTAGAGAGGCCCGATGAAAATGGCTCAGGGACTGACCCCGCTATTATAAAAATGCTAGAAGATCTCGCCAAAAAGGATAGAGACCGGAAAAAATAAAATTGAAGAAAATTACAAAAAGATGGAGACATACAACTCGAGGGTCGACCAGATACCAGGAGCACCTCTGATTTTGAAAGGACTGGACTCGAAAAAGTTCGTGCAAAAACCATTCCTCTAGAGTGCGGCTCCAAAGCTCATCCCGAAGAAGTTTTGGATGCCAGATATCCCAAAATACAACGGAACCACTGATCCTAACGAGCACATTACCACATACTAGTATAAAAGAAAATAATTTGGAAGATGATAAGATTGAATCTGTTTTGCTAAAAAAGTTTGGGGAAACTCTGTCTAAAAGGTGCCATGATTTGGTACCATAACTACCCCCGAACTCTATCGATTCGTTTGCCATGTTGGCAGACTCATTTGTGAGGGCAGATGTCGGTGCCGTAAAAGTTGTAACAAGGAAGTCCGATGTATTCAAAAGAAAGCAAAGGGAGAACGAGATGTTGAGGGAGTTTGTATCCCGTTTTCAATCAGAACGAATGGAGTTACCACCAGTCTCCGATGGTTGGTCCATACAAGCCTTAACTCAGGGGCTAAATGAACGAAGCTCGATAGCTTTGAAGCAGCTGAAGCAGAACTTGGTCGAGTATCCCACTGTGACTTAGGCAGATGTGCATAATAGGTACCAATAAAAAATTAGGGTCGAGGATGACCAGTTGGGATCCCCCTCGGGCTTGGTTTATCCAAGCAGGTTACTAGCAAGGGAGTCAAGAAATGCAGACAGGGGGTCAAGATCGAATAAGGAAAGATATCAGCCATACGTCGAGGA